GTATGTGTGTGTGTGTGTGTGTGTGTATGTGTGTGTGTACTTTTCTGTGTGGGTATGTGCATGTATGCGTGTGCATGCTTTGACACAGGTGCTGGTGGTTGGAATTCAGGTCTTCATGGTTGCACTACCATGTCCAAAACAACAACAGCAAAATTTGTTTCACAATGTTATTGAGAAGGCTTAATAATGACGAGTTTTCAGGTAACAGACATGGTGATTAGTCAATAAATAGCTCCTTCCTCATTCCTAGAAGCCTCAAAAAGATGTTCTAATAGATTCCCCCTCCCCCCTCTCTCTCTGAATGTACAGATGTGAATGTGCATATGTGTGAGGGCAATTTAAAGGTGTCTTGATTGGATCCATCCTCTATCTTTGTCTGTCTGTCTCTCTGCATGTACATACATGTGGAAGTCAGAAGTTAACTTTGGGTGTCATGTCTCAGGAATCAGCAACCTTGTTTTTTTTTTTTTAAATTTATTTATTTATTTATTATGTATATAGCATGTATGCCCACAGGCCAGAAGAGGGCATCAGATCTGATTACAGATGGTTGTGAGCCACCATGTGGTGCTGGGAATTGAACTCAGGACCTCTGGAAGAGCAGCTAGTGTTCTTAACCACTGAGCCATCTCTCCAGCCCGCAACCTTGTTTTTTGAGACAGGGTCTCTTACTGGGACCTGGGGCCTGCTAGTCAGGCTAGACTGGGTGCCCAGCAAGCTCCAGGGCTCTGCTTCCCCAGCACCGGGATTACAAGCATGCACGCCTGACTCTATGTGAGCACTGGGGGTCAGACTTATGGAGCAGGCATTACTAACTTAGGTAGCTCCCCAGTCCCTGCTGGGTCTCTGGGGGAATCGGAAACTGTCTCCCTTCCCATCCTGACTCCAGGTAGCCTTGGGCTTAGTCTGTGAAGCCGACTACCAGCCAGTGGCCCGTGCAGTTCGGGAAAGGGTTGCCGCCATCCAGCGGAAGCGGGAGAAGCTTCGAAAAGCTAGGGAGTTGAAGGTTCTCCCACCGGAGTCAGGACCTCCTCCAGCAACTGCGTCCATAGCTCCTGGTCCCCCCAGTGCCTTTCCCCCCGAGCCCGAGGAGCCAGAGGCTGACCAGCACCAATCCTTCCTCTTCCGTCATGCGAGCTACTCATCTACCACCTGTAAGTCACCCCGACTTAGAGGTCTAGGTCCCAGAAGTCCAGCCCAGAAATGCTGCCACTTACCAACCTTCCAACTCTAGGTGTCAACCTTCCTTGGGGACAAACACTCCCACAATTCCCTCCTGGCTCCAGGCCCCTCTGCACAGACAGGTCCCCTCCTCTACCACGACAGTCCTTTATTATTATTATTATTATTATTATTATTATTATTATTATTGATCCACTCCCTCCCCTACCAGCTGATTGCGAGACTGATGGCTACCTCAGCTCCTCCGGCTTCCTGGATGCCTCAGACCCTGCCCTTCAACCCCCCGGGGGGGTGCCATCCAGCCCCGCTGAGTCCCATCTCTGCTTGCCCTCGGTGAGAGGGGGTCCCTCGGGAACCTTCCAGTCATTCAAAGCCCATGGCCTATCCCTTTCTCTTGAATCCCAACCCCCTAACCTGTCCCCTCGTTCCTGAGACACACCGTTCTTGTCCTTATCTTCTCCAATTCTGTTTCCCTAGTGTTCTCCCCACATCCCTGACCCCATTTCCCCGGGTCACCACAATTATCATCAACAGTTATCATCTCCTGATCTCATGAATCGTGTCCTCTTTCAGGGTTTCGCCTTGTCCATTCCACGTTCTGGTCCCGGCAGTGACTTTTCTCCTGGGGACAGGTATGTTCTGGTTTAAGTTGGGGTGCCAGGATGAGACACGGGACGTTCTGGGTTCCCGCTGTCCATTTAAACGCTTCTGTCTTCTTTCCCCTGTCTAGCTGTGCCTCAGATGCAGCGTCGGGCCTCAGTGACATGGGAGAGGGGGGACAAATGAGGAAAACTCCAGTGAAGAATCTCCGTCGGAGACCCCGATCCCGGCTCCGGGTCACTAGTGTAAGGACAGCATAGGAGCTGGGGAATAACCTACCGGACCAGCGGGGAACTGCCATGGAGATGGGGGAGGTGGGCCAGAAAAGCGGAGTTGTAGTGTATGGTTGGTACCCATGAGGCATCTAGTCTTGTTTCGATGCCAGACTCTGGGGGCAGAATCTGTTCTCGGGGTCCACTCTGGTCAATGTGCTTTAGCTGGCACAGGGTGGAAACACATGATTAAGGCAGAAGCATTGATCTCTTCCCTCCTGCTGACTTTGAATCTGAAGGTCTCAGACCAGAATGACAGAGTGGTGGAATGCCAGCTACAGACCCACAACAGCAAGATGGTGACCTTCCGATTTGATCTGGACGGGGACAGCCCAGAAGAGATCGCAGCTGCCATGGTAAGAGGGAGAGAGGTAGGACAGATGTGGATATAAGCATTTTCCTCCTGGTATCCACTGGTGCTGACACACCCCGGCCCCACAGCAAGGGTTTATAAAAAACACTGGTTGGCAGAGCGACACCAAAGATGCTTCAGCCTTGGTGTGTGTGTGTGTGGCGGGGTATTTCTGTTTATCTAGTCAGGTTTTACACTTTGAGATCAGTGGGGACTGGGTAGACAGGAGTGGTGTGTGTGTGTGTGTGTGTGTGTGTGTGTGTGTGTGTGTGTGTGTGTTTGTGTACCGTTGTTCCTGCTAGAGGTACCACACTGTGGCTGGAAGTAAAGGGTGGACTGGAGCAGCACAGGAAGGAGTGGGATTTACCCCGGCCCTGGCAACAGAGTGGGAATGGCAGGGAAGGGCGGAAAGGCCATGCCCAGCTGGAGGCACAGCATGAGCAGCCAACAGCACTAGTGCTGAGTGTTGGGAGGACTTAAGGAGGAAACTGTCCCAGGAGAAAAGGGATCCCACAGGAAAATCCTGGAAAGTGGAATTCGGCACAGATCGTAAGTGCACACGAAAGGCCAGCTCTGGCAGTCCGTGTAATCTGAGCAGTTAGGAAGGGGAGACAGGAAGGTCAGGGGTTCAGGGTCGTCCTTGGCTGCACAGCAGTTCAAGGACAACCCAGGTTACATGAGACCTTATAAAGCAAACAAAGTTCAAGAACGGCTTTTTGTTTGTTGTTTGAGGATTTATTTATTTATGTATATGAGTGCTCTATTTGCATGTATGACTGCATGTCAGAAGAGGGCACCAGATCTCATTACAGATGGTTGTGAGCTACCATGTGGGTGCTGGGAATTGAACTCAGGACCTCTGGAAGAGCAGCCAGTGCTCTTAACCTCTGAGCTATCTCTCCAGCCCTGAGAATGGGTTTTAAGTAGACCATTCTGCTGTGGGATGTGGGAGGGTTTTTAGAGTAAGGATCTGGTAGGGGGAGGGGTGGACACAAGAAGCCTGACAGGAATGAAGGGGAGATGGAATATAGAGGAGAAGAAAGGGTGGATTTAAGGGTTGCTTCAGGAAAACTGCTGCGTAATCCAGTAAGTTCTTGACGCGGCACAGTGTGGGTAGTGGATGCCCAATAAATATTTGCTGAGTTGATATGCTAGGGCGTTAGGGAGAAGGGACATCAAGGGCAACCCGTATCAGAGGAACAAAGAGGAGCAGATTACTGAATGAGAGAAGTTGGGAATGAAAGCAGGGTTTCTTAAGGGTCATGATGAGCTTGAGCAACAGCTGAATCCAGGTCCTCCATGGCAACTGGATATGGCCAGGCAGAGCTGGAAAGAGATGGGTTCAGGAGTCCTCAGCCCAGAGCTGATGGGTGAAAATAGACCTGCCAAGGTGAGAGAAGCTTCGAGACTGTGTGTCTTGAAAACATCCTGTTCTAGGATGAGAAGTGGGGAGACAAGTTACTGACGGGCAGCAAGTTGGGGCCAAAGAAGTAGAAAGACGTTAGTGAGAACGAGTGAGTTTCAAGCAGGTGGCGTGGGGGGACGGGGACTCCTGAGGAAGACCGCACTGCTTTTGTTAGAAGTCTCAGTGGGAGACAGTTTCAGCAGAGTGGGGTTGAGATGGTGGAGAAAACATCTGACTTGGGGAATTCTTCACAAAGCACCCCCTCCTGGATGCCATTCACCTAGTCTCCAGATCAAAGAAAAGTATCACCTGACACCTGAGGCTTGTCATCTTCTGCCAAGCCACGTGACCCTTCTCCGGGTCTACCAAGCGTGACCCAGAGTCTTTATCAAGCCGCACAGGTTTCTGAACAGTTCCTGGAAGAGGCTGGGTGCCTTTCTGCCTCTGCCTCTATCTACTCAGGGGTCTGTAGGTGTGGAAACCTTTCCCCATGGTCTCTATGCTCATTCAGAACCCACACAATCCAAGTGACCCACGCCTGGATCCTGGCTCCATTTTCTTTTCTCTCCTCACTCGTTAACCCCTCTGCAGCAGAGTTTGAGACTTGGACCTAATCGTTCTGGTTTTCATCATCATCGTCGGCTCTTTGTGATTCTAAAATCAGGAAGCATGGCCTTTATAACCATTGTCCATCCAACTGCATCAGGGTCCTGTCTTCAGACTGGGTTGTGTCTTTCATGCCTCAAGGCTGTCCTCTTGGCCTCAGCTGTTATCCTTTCTCTTCTGAAGGGCAGGGTGCAACAGAAGAATGGCCAGTCCAGCAGTGGTTCTCAACCTTCCTAATGCTGCGGCTACCCTTTAACACAGTTCCTCGGGTTGTGGTGACCGCCAACCGTAAAATTATTTCGTCCCACTTCATAACTGTAATTTTGCTACTGTTATGAAACCTAATGTAAAAAATATCTGTGACCCCAGAGGGGTCGAGACCCACAGGTTGAGAACTGCCTCGTCACTAGGCTTTTATGTAACCTGAGTTCAGTTTCATGTGTTGAAATTTGGTGAACTTGGCCAGGTTTCACTTCTAATCCCTCCTCTTCCCTTCCTTCTTTTCTTGTGGTGCTGGAGATCAAATCCAGGGGCTTGGGGCAAGTGTTGTATCACTACCCTAGCTTCTGTGGCAGGGCTCTCCAGCTCTGAGCCTCAACTCTTCACCCATTACTATTTGTTTGTCAAAGACGTGATCTAATATGGTGAGGCATGGAGGTGCCCATCGATCCTCAGTGAAGGGTTGCTTTTTTTACCTCACATTTGTAAGGTTCAGCATCAAATACTTCCTGTGTATCCCTGTATCCCAGGTTCTCCCATCCCAGAGGTGTATGACCTGTTCCTTCATTGGAATAGCATTGGGGGAGATGATCAATTACAGATTTTTTTTATTACATTTACTTACTTGTATGTGGAGGTTAGAAGACAACCCATGAGAATTCATTTTTCTCCTTTCACTGTATGATCATGTGACTGCGTTCATATAATCAAACCCGATGACAAGCATCTTTATCCATCTCGATATCCTAATTAGATTATTAGCACTTTTAAAATTTTGGTGGTGGTGGTAGTTTTGGTAATTTTGACACAGGGTCACACTGTGTAGTTCTGGCTGTCCTGGAATTCACTTTGTAGACCAGGCTGGCTTCAAGCTCACAGAGATCAGCTTGACTCTGTCTCCTGAGTGCTAGGATTAAAGGCGTGAGCCACCATGCCTGACTAAATTGTGTTTTAACAAAGAAAAAAGTCCAAACACATTGTAAGTGGAGCACAGTGGCATGTTCTTGTAATGCCAGCCCTCAGGAAGCTGAGGGGGGAGGACTGCCACAAGTTTGAAGCCTCTCTGGACAACATAGTAAGACGCCCCACCTCCAAACAACAACAAAATGCCAAACCAACTAACCAAATACAAGATAAAACAACAACATAAAATCTACCGCTATAACCACTTGAAGCATGTGTTCAATAGTACAGTACCTACATTGTTGTGAGCCAGATCTCCAGACCTTGCAAAGTCTGAAATGCTTGCTAAAGAAGATCCTCCTGTTGGACGTGGTGGCGCATGCCTTTAATCCCAGCACTCAGGAGGCAGAGGCAACAGGATCTCTGTGAGTTCCATGCCAGCCCGGTCTACCGAGCAAGTTCCAAGACAGCCAGAGCTGTTACACAGAGAAACCTTGTCTTTAAAAAAAAAAAATTCCTAAGACCCTCCCACCTCCAGAAATTTTTTTTTTTTTAACCCATACTCACTATTAGCAAGGCCCTGAAGTGCTCTTCCCATCCCAGGACAGCTTGCAGAGTGCTGTGTACTGACGTGAGGTGGAAGACTAAGATGTTGTTTCATGCTTCCCCGTATCCCCATATTCAACAGTACTCCCCACAATGCATGGTAGACAGCAGGCACTCAATGTTTGTGGAGTGGGAAGTGACATTTACCGTTCATGCCCTGTTTTGCTTAACTTTGCCAAGTGTGACTGGGACCCCGTGTTTTTTATATGAGTGCAGAAGTATGTAACTGTGAAAAGAGTTCAGGCTCTGGCTTTCAGTGGACCTGGGTCAAATTTGTGGCTGTGGCCAACTGAACTTTTGAAAAGTATTTTAAAAAAATATTTATGTGCATTGGTGTTTTGCCTGCATGTATGTCTGTGTGAGGGTGTCGGTTCCTCTGGAACTGGAGTTACAGGTGCTAGGAATTGAACCCAGGTCCTCTGGAAGAGCAGCTAGTGCTCTTAACCACTGAACCATCGCTCCAGGCCCAGGCCAGGTGAACTTAACCTGTGCATTAGCTAGCTTCAGAGCAAAGGGAGAATATTAATGGACCAGAGCAGGTTGTCGGTGCTAAATGTGCCGATACGTGAAAGCTTTGGTGCATACAGCACACACATCCTAGGCATGTTAGCTCCTAGCTACATTTCTCCTTGCCCACAAGTGTCTGGCACACAGCACATCCTTAGCAAATGATGCAGTGGTGCCAACAGCTAGGCTGAAACATCAGGAGCAGGGCGGTAACCGTGAGACAACAGCCTCCTCCCATCCCATAATCCCCGCCAGGTGTACAATGAGTTCATTCTGCCCTCGGAGCGAGATGGATTCCTGAGCAGGATCCGGGAGATTATCCAGCGAGTGGAGAGCCTGCTGAAGAGAGATTCTGGTCCCCCAGAGGCTGCTGAAGACGCCCTGAGCCCTCAGGTCAGGCCTCGAGACATCCCCGGCAGGAACAGACTGCCCTGAGCAGAGTGTGGATGAACGTCTCTTGATCTTGAGAACCTTACAGCCGACTCTCAACTCTATTTATGAAAGCTACAACAGACTCCTGTTCTAGAAAACAGTGAATGAATACTTTTAGCTTGTTATTTTGAAATAAGTGCAGACCCGCAGAGAGAAATTGCAAGAACTGTAGAGCACTTTTCTAGATGCCCTTTGCCCAGATTTGCTGGTGGTTAATCCCCTTTGACTAGCTTTCCCAGTCTTCCTCTGTATTATTTGTTATGTTCCTTTGAACTGCTTGAGACTAGGTTGGCAGGTCTCAAACCTCTTTACCTCCAAATATTTCAGCAAGTACATTTTTGAATCCCAAGAAGCTCATGTCTGGATTCCTAGAAGCTCATGGGCCCTAGGTTAAGAATCCCAGCCTGCAATTTTTCCATTGGAGACTTGGCTTTCCCCACTAAAGGCCCCTTTTCTCCCCCAGGAAGAGCCAGCAGTAGTGCCTGCCCTCCCAGGCCCATCCAATGGTAGGTTCTGCATTCTGTTCCTGTTCATCCCAACCCCTGGGCGGACCTTGTGGAGGGCACAGGGCATGGGGGTCTGGAATTTCAACCCTCCCTCCTCAGCAGAGCCCCAGAGAAGCATCTCCCCGGAACAGAGGAGCTGGGCAGCCTTCTCCACCTCTCCGTCTTCTCCTGGAACCCCCCTGTCCCCTGGAACCCCATTTTCCCCTGGGACCCCTCCTGTCTTCCCATGCCCCATCTTTCCCATCAGCTCACCCTTCTGTCACCCCTGCCCGTTCTCCCAGGCCTCTTCACACCCCTGTCCACAGGCCCCCAGCTCCCCTCCCCCATCCTTCTCCAGTGCTTCTCAGTTTCCACTCTCACCCTCTCACCTTCCTACGAGTTCTCTCCCCGCCAGCTCTCCTCACCCACTCTCTCCTAGTTGTTCCCAAGTCACTCTTAGCCCCTCTCCTTTTCCTGTCTGCCCCTCCCCTCCTCCCCTCCCCTCCCCTCCGGCAGCTCCTCTCCTCTCTCTGGCTAGCGCCTTCTCTCTGGCTGTGATGACTGTGGCCCAGTCCCTGCTGTCCCCCTCCCCTGGGCTGCTTTCCCAGTCTCCTCCAGGTCCTCCGCCTAGCCTGCCCCTTCCCCTTGCTTCTTGTGGCCAGGAGAGCCTTTCACCCCAAACAGCTGAGGCAGAGAGTGAGGTAAGTCAGGCATGAAGAAGGATGGGGGGGGAGGGCTCCCCGTTCTGGATCCTTTCCTTCCTCATGGTATCACACTTCCTAGGCTTCCCAAAATTCTGCCCCACCGCTCCTGGGTGAAGCTAGACTGGCACCCATCTCTGAAGGTGAGGCCTCGAATCCCTGACCTTCCCCTGCCTGTTACCCCCAACACATTTCTTTATGTTCTAGATTTCTTTCCTCCTCCTCACTTCCCTCCTTATCTCCCTGCAGAGGGAAAGCCCCAGCTTGTCGGGCGTTTCCAAGTGACTTCATCCAAGGAGCCAGCAGAGGCACCCCCTCAACCAGCACCACCTCTCTCCAGTTCCCTAAAACTTCCAACCCCTCAGCTGACCTCAGAGAGCTCAGACACAGAGGACAGTGCTGCCGGAGGACCAGAGACCAGGGAGGCTCTGGCAGAGAGTGACCGCGCAGCCGAGGGCCTGGGGGTTGCGGTCGAAGAGGAAGGGAATGATGGGATCCGAACTGGGGGAAGCTCCCCCCTCCTGAGTCATCCCAGCCCGGTGTGGATGAACTACTCCTACAGCAGCCTGTGTCTGAGCAGTGAGGAGTCAGAGAGCAGTGGGGAGGACGAGGAGTTCTGGGCTGAGCTGCAGAACCTTCGGCAGAAGTGAGTCTGGGGAAGCCCGCAGAGCTAGAGGTAAACCTGGAGCACAAGTGTGTGACGAGCCTTTCCCCGCCCTCGGTGCACCTTCAGGCACTTATCGGAAGTGGAGGCACTACAGACCCTACAGAAAAAAGAAATCGAGGACTTGTACAGCCGGCTTGGGAAGCGGCCCCCACCCGGGATCGTCGTCCCGGCCGCAATGCTGTCCTGCCGCCGGCGCCGCCTCTCCAAGGGCAGCTTCCCCACTTCCCGCCGCAACAGCCTGCAGCGCTCTGAGCTCCCCGGCCCTGGTGAGATGGCAGCCACCCAGCTCTCACCTCTCCCTTGAGACTCCTCCCCTACTGACGCCATCTTTCAGGCCCCCGGTGGTCTACCCTTGGTTCTGGGGGACCAGCCCCGCCCCTGGCTGCCCCTTCCTTCACTTAGCGCTCTCCCTCCCTCATCCTGCTCCCAGGCATCATGCGAAGGAACTCTCTGAGTGGCAGCAGCACTGGCTCCCAGGAGCAGCGGGCAAGCAAGGGGGTGACATTCGCCGGGGATGTTGGCAGGATGGTGAGGGCGGGCCCAAGGGAGGGAGAGCCCAGGGAATGGTGACTGGTAGCAGCTTTGTCTCTTTCCTCTTTGGGCATTTCTTCAGCACTTTTCTTTTCCCCTCCAGTGAATTCAGAACAGAAGTCCTATGTCTCCCCAACACCAGGCCCACCATGGCACTTGGGCTCTCAGAATCTGATGCTTTTGTGACCAACTGAACTCAGCACAGAACACCCCAGCACTGAGAGGGTATAGAAGGCCTGTGGGCATGGAGAGTGCGCTTGTGTTATCCTGAAGAAGCAAACATGTGGGAACTCTTTGCTGTGTGGAAATGTCATTTCTGTAGCCTACCCCACCTTCATCTTCCGCTCCTCCCCAGGCAAGGGCCAACCACTAAGCAATCCCACTCAAGTCCAGATGCTTCTAGAAGGCCAGCTTCCAGCTGGGAGTGTAGGAGGTGTGCTCACACCACCAACCAAAGTTAACAGCAACCAATAAAAATACTGGAAAGGATTGTGGGTCTGTATCTGCCATGCCTGAGGAACCGGGGGCAAAGACTTGTGGGGTGAGGCAGATGTGGATACAGAAGCCATTCTCCTCTCACAATGGGAGGCAGGATAGAAGCGGCCCAGTTTCTGGCTTTTTGCCACCAGGTCATGAGGAAACTACATGACCAGTGATGCACCTGGCCAAGCTATGATCCCCTCCAGACCCCACCCTAGGCCGGTTATAGGCAGGTACCAGTGAATGTTAAAAGAATGAAGGAACTTGTGTCTTATCCTTCATCTGCCCATCCAGGGACGGGGAAAGGCTGTGTGACATTAGAGTCTGTTCTTGAAGGCAAAGAATGAAAGAGTGACCTTCCTTCCCCTAAGACCTGGTTCAGACTCAAACAGTCCAGTAATCTCTCCCTTAAATCAGGTGGAAAGATCTCACGGAAAAAGTACTTCTAGTTAAACATTTACAGCTCCCTGGGGCAATGCCACCACTGCAGCTAATGCCAGGGAGCTTTCCAGTGTGAAGTGCCATGTGTCTCTCGGGCCCCCACACACTAGCTTGGCTTCAGGAGAGATGACTCATTTTATTACTCTTAATTTGACCCTATCTTTCCCACTTTAGGTTCCAACTCTGCAGATACGCCACACCCTCCCCCTTAACAGTTGGGCCCCTGGGAGGTGAAGGGGTAAACCACAAAGTTTGGGGAAAGGCAAGGTCGCATACCTCTCAAACAAGGAAATAAGAAGGCTGAGTAACTGTACAAACTGCCTGTAAAATGAGCAAGCCCCCTTTGGCAGTGGCCAAATGCACAGTCTCTGGCTTCTTGGGCTCAACCATCGTCCGAAGTTAGTACACCAGCGATGTTGTGAGCTCACCCAGGCGTCATATAACATGTACAGGGGCTCCAGCAGTTTGCAGATGGTCCGTACAGTTAGGGTCCTGCCGCTCTTTCCCTCTCAAGAGCTCGGGCTCGGGCTGCTTTGGCTTCATCTTCCAGCTCATCAAGGAAACGTTCCTGAGCCACTGAATAGAAGGTGTAACCATCTGGCGGGGTGGGTTCAGGAAACCACAAAGCATATGGACATTCCTTCCTTCTACCACCCTTGTTATTACCCAAATTAATGATTTTGGAGTGCCACCCTTTTCTGCCCCCTTTGAACCTTTAACTCCGTGGTTATTACTAAACCACTAAGAGCAGCGTACATATAGTAAGATTAGGTATTAACCCCATTTTGGCCCACACATTAAAGGCTACACGTTTCGTTCCCTTTTCCTTAACCCGATAAATGGTACAGCAGGACGGATACAAATAGCTAATACCACGGCCCCGATGCCCAGGCCGGTCACGATGTTCCGGGTCCGCCGCTGTGGCAGTGTTTTCTGCCACTGGGAAAGTTGCACCTGCCGCATAAACTGCAGTTGCGCGGGGGTCAATTTGTCCCGCGATGGGTCGATGCGCTGAGCGAACGGGGCATTTCCATCCTTAGCATTCAGAGGGTCGCCAGCGCCGGAGGCCGCCATGTTGCTGCTCCGCCCTAAGCCGCCCAGCCCGGAACTCGCCGGGAATAGTAGTCTGCCCGCCGCAAGGGACTCTGGGAGTTGTAGTCCGCGTGGAGTTTCCTGGGTAGAGACAGGGTCTCTCCGCCCTAGAGGAGGGGCAGGGAAGGCGAGAAGCGGTTGTGTTTTCTGATTGGCTGAGCGCTTCGTGGCAGTTGGGGCGCGAAAAGCTGTTGATAGTTCGAGGCTGTGGTGGGAATTACGTTTTCCTCAGATTCGAGGCAAGGACAGACATTGGAAGGAAAGGAAGAATCCAGGGCGTGGCAGAAGATTCTGGAAAGAAGCTAAGGAAGCCAGTTTATGGGTCCCGTGGACTGCCCCAGGGCCGCGAAAGACTTCTGACCATGGAAGGACCCTTGCGGCCAAGACTAGCCAACTCCAGTGACTTCCAGTTTGGAGCAGTTGCCACAGAGACCATCGAAAACGCTCTGCTTCACTTGGCCCAGCAGAATGAGCAAGCGGTGAAGGAGGCCGCGGGACGGATGGGCAGCTTCAGGGAGACCCGCATCGTGGGTGTGGATGCAGAGCCGGGAGTCGGGCGGATGGGAGTCTTGGGAGCACTGACCTTTATTTTTCACTCAAATATATTTTGTTAGTACTTTTTATGCTAGGTCGTAAGTGATGAACGAGGCTTACCAGCACTCTTACTGATTCCTACCCACACCCCCTACCCTGGCCCTTCTCTTGTCTTTTTTTTTTTTTTTTTTTTT